ATTTTCTGGGCAAACGCAAAGATGAAAACTATGTTAAACTGGTTGACAACATGCTTAGCAGTTTCAAATCCCTCGGATGTAATATGAGTATTAAGGTGCACTATTTACACAGCCATTTTAGATTTTCCTAAAAACTTAGGAGACATAAGTGAGGAGCAAGGTGAAAGATTTCACCAAGATATTAAAACTATGGAGGATTGGTACCAAGGAAGATGGGATATGCGCATGATGGCGGATTACTGCTGGAATTTAAAAAGAGATTGTTCTAAAATACATTCAAGAATGTCACGGAAAAGAAGTTTCTGGGTTGTTTAGTGACTATAGTTTGTTTCATAAATACTTTTTCTTTTGTCTTTACATATAATAACTATATATAATAATTACTATATAGTTATACATTTCTATAGCATAATAATCAAAATTTAATCAAAATTTCATGTTTATTTTGTTAATTTGACCCCAATCAAAACGCTTTTCAAAAGGATAAAAACCATTTTTATAAAAGGTATAAAAGATTTTTGTTTTTTAGGGTAAAGGAGCCATCGCCCCCCCTAACCCCCTCATTGGCGCTTCTTATTTCATTAAAATGATCTCAAAAATGCGAGCTGATTGGCAAAATCTAACGGTATATTTGAGTTCAGGGCATCAAACTCATATAAAATTTGCTGCAAATACCCCTACATCAAAATAGCTGTTGGCCTGTGTAATTGCTGACTTTGATGAATATTTAAAGCCATCATTCTTTTGTGACGTATTTGATGGTTTTGCAAATATCTTATTAGTTACACTAAATCTTTGTTGCGTTGCTGATTGTATCACTTTGAGAGAATCTAGCATCACTACATTAAAGTTAGACGTTTGTTCTGAAAGATTTTTAAACAAAAACATGTGAAAACCTTTACTGGTTAAAATAGTTGAATTACCCGTATATAGCTCCATAACAGCCAATTCGATAGGTTTTAACACTTTACAAATATCTTCCAAAACTTTAAAATTGACTTCCTCATAAAAACTATTTTTTCTAATGTCCTAAACTGCTTTTTGAATGCATAGTTTCAATTTTACCAACCTTTCAATCATGGGAACCATAGAGTTCCCTCGAGTTTTAATGTCAAGTTTTAGCATCAGTTTTTTATTTTCTTGTTTGGAAATATGCTTTCGTAATATGGTGCTACGAATCTTGACAATTTAAAAGATTTAATCAGTTTACATGAAATATTCATTAGAGACTTGATGTCATCTCAAAATATTCTCTTGTTGCTTCCATGAGTAGTTTTCTCTATGGTATTGTTAAAAATGTTGATGCGATTCAATCTCGTTAGATAATCATTGTCATTATAATTAGAATCTGAATCATTATCTTCTTCTGAAGTAAGATTAAAAAGAAGTTTCTTCGAAATTGTTTGCATTGTCATATTCATCGGCATCTTCACTTGATTTGTCACTCAAACATGTTCAGTTGTCGCTGGTATGTAAATTTTTGTTGAAAAAATTGGTTACAGTCAGATAAACTCCATGATTGTAGCACAGTTGACTCTCTACAGGAATTATCCGTCCATATTTTTGCATTACTGCAGCACCATTGTGAGTAGATATGTACAAAAAATCTAATTCTGTCAAATTTTTTTCGCAAGCAATTCAGTCTAGGTTTTACGTTTAGAGAATTTGTCAACTTTTATTTTGTTTTTTTGGAACTTCTGCAACAGGTCTTTCTGATTTTTTATATTATATTATGGATAGTTCTCATGTGGGTAAACAGATATAATCAGGTGCGTAATCAGACCAGATGTGCTCAAACCTTTGCATTTCATGAAAGAATTGCACAGGGTACATTTTGGTTCACTAGCTGAATCGTATGATTTTGTGAAATACTTCCAGACAGAAGAACTCTGTTTTGGCACTTTTTTTTTTTTTTTTTGTACTTGTCTTTTATTGGTTATATATATAAAGTAAAGTAAAATAAATATAACGCAAATAAAATTACATTACTTGTATATTATTTATTAATATAAGTAGATTGTTAAATATTATAATTAAATGTATAGTTTTAATAATACTAAACTATTTATTGTTTCTTATATATAAACTATTATTATAAAAACATAAAATAACGCTACAGCTATTACATACCTTCACTCATGAACTTCTTTATGCGAAAATAATATCTAAAAGGTTTGTAATGTTGCAACTGATAATACTTTTCCAAAAATAATTATACAAAAAGTTTAAGAGGAATTGTAGTGTTGCAGTAATTACAAAAAAAAAAAATTTAACAAACTAGTGGTTTGCAAACAGCATAACAAAATAACTTCTATTTTTTGTCATTCATTTACAAAATTCTAACACAAAAAGTACATTAGTGCAAATTGTTATCTTTATTAAGTTCAAATTATTAAAATTTTAAAAACCGTAAAAACCGGTAATTTTTTTTGAGTTGCTTTTTACAAAAATTTTAATAACTGTACTTTTTTATTGAATCAAGTAGAATACGTTTTAATATTAATCCTTTTTTTTTATTTTATTTGCGTTTACCAATTTTTAAAATGTTTTCTCGAAATTTCTCTTAAATACTTTAAATATGTCTAACAGTTAAGGAATATTTTTAAATCTATGGAATGATTTTAAAACCTAACAAACCCCCGTAAAATAATTATTCAAGTTAAAATTATAAAACTAAAAGAAAGTATTTTTGTTCAACTTTGCTATTGTTAAATAATTTTATTAAAATGTTAGCTTAAAAAGATTTAAACTTTTTTTTTAATCTGAATTTTTTCTACTTGTAAATAATTAGCATATTTAATTTTTTTGTAATTCAAACTTTTATATCAACTGCGTGCGGTTTTTAAAATACTTTATTAAATGTTAAAATAATCATAAATTACTTCATTAAAATTCCGCTCAAAAATATCTTTAAATATACTCAAACAAAAATTTTTTTGCTCGAAGCAAATAGCCTTAAATCATCTTGACATATTGAAAATAGTTTAGCAAAACCCAAAAATGTCAGTTAAGATAATATTTGTAATTTTTATATTACCAATGTTATTAAGTATATCCTTTTTCAAGTAAATCTTGAAAATTTTTCTTTAATTTTATCTTATCATTAAGATAGTTTTTAAGTGTCTTTTACTGTTATTAAGACATTACTTTTATTGATCCTAATTTTTGGTTTTTAGTTCTCATGGAATAAACAGACCAAGTGCATTAAAAATAGCTTATGGTGCACTGTCAATATAATTTCTTTATTAAAATTGCATTTTGAAACAATCTGTTCATAAAAAACTTTTTTTGACAAATAAAAAATTAGTAGGAATTAGAAAACTATCTTTTTTGGTTGAAAGTAATCAGGTCATTATAATAGTTTTAATTACAGGAGTTAATTAGAAACTTCCTTATTTTATCTCTCAAAGAAAAATATTTTTCTTTGCAAAAATATTTTGCAAAAAAAAATTATTTTCAAAAAAAATTTTGCGAAAAGAAAAAAAAATTTTCCCGCAAAAAAAAAAGGGCCCATATACAGGCTGAGCATAAGACCCATAAAAACAAATGTTTTAGAATGTATGGGCCTTTGTTTTTTTTGCTTGAATTAAACTGTCAAAAATATATATATATATATATTAATACTACAAAAAGCATGCAAAAGAAAAAGAAATTAAGCATCAAGTTTAAAAGGGTCAGGGTAACAACATCAGTTTTTGCCATGTCTAATAACATTTGTCCAGCAACATCTATAAGTATAATGAGGTATAATATCATCTGTCCAACAACATCTAAAATTTCATTGATGTTTAATAACATCTGTGCAAAAATTGGAAAAATATTAACTAAAAATACATTATTTTAACCAGATGTTATTACATATAGAAATTTTTCCAATGTAACTACATCTGAAAAAAAAAATTAACTAATAATGCATTATTTTAACCAGATGTAATTACATATAGGATTTTTTTCAGGTGTAATTACATCTGGAAAAAAATATTGCCTAATAATGCATTAATTTAACCAGACATAGTTACATAAGGCAATTTTTTCAGATGTAATTACATCTGGAGAAAATACTTCTAGATGTTACAGAACTTGGAGAAAAATTACCAGATGTAGTTGCATTTTTCTAAAGATGTTGCTAGGGGTTGTTGAATTTTCAGATAATATTGAACAGATGTTATTAGAATAAAAGAAAAATACAGATGATCTCAGACAAAAGTGTACAGATGATCATGGGCTACTCCACAGGTGTTGTTGGATGTAGTAATCTTTTATCATTTAAAACCTTTTTTTATTTTAAATATTTTTAAAATAAGTGTTTTAACTTAAAAGTTTTAAAAAAGGTGTTTACTTAGATTTAAAATTTTTTTTTTTTAAATATTTTTTTTAATTGTATTTTTTACTTTTTGAATTTTGAATTTTAAATTTTAAATTCCAATGCAAAGACTACAGATTTTTACGGGTTTTTTTGACATGCTTTTTTATGTTTTTTTTTTTTTAATGTGATATTATTGGCATGCTTTTTTATTTGCTTTGGATTATTTTGAGTTTTTATTATTATTTTATATTATTAACTATAATTCTATAATAACTATAAAACTATAATTCTAGTGCCTTGTAGCAGTATAATACTAAAACAATTGTTAACAATAATAACAGTTGTCACAGCAATATTTATATAATGTTTGTAACATATTCGTATACATAAGTTATTTTTTTTAGATAACTTATTTTATATATAAATACTTATTAACAAGTTCATTAGCGTGAAATGTGGTTATTTTAGACAGTGGGGGTAACTATGTGGTTATTTTAGACAACTCTAGACAAAAACTTTGAAATTTATTTTAGACAGTGGGGTGACAAAAACTTTGAAATTTTTCTACTAGAAAGATTTTTACTCAAAGTTTTTCTCTGAAGTGATCCCACCGTCTAAAGTAACCACATTTCACGGTTTCATGTTATTGATATTAAATAAAGATTATATAGAGACTTGTGTTCTCTTTGATTAGGAATGTGTGGTGATGGTGCTAATGACTGTGGCGCATTGAAGCGTGCTCATACTGGAATTTCATTATCTGAAGCAGAGGCTTCTGTTGCATCTCCCTTTACATCAAAAGTACAAAATATTAGCTGCGTTCTGCAAGTGATTAAAGAAGGCCGCTGTGCACTTGTAACTTCTTTTAATCTGTTTAAGTTTATGGCACTATACAGTATGATTCAGTACTCAAGCGTATTGTTGTTGTACTCAATTTCCTCAAATTTAGGTGACTTTCAGTTCTTGTACATTGACTTATTTATCATCACTTCTTTTGCAGTTACTATGGGTAGAACTGGTCCTACTGATTTCTTGTCTCCAAAACCACCCTTAGATCGTTTGATGCACCCAAATGTTCTGTTCTCAATAGTGATGCAAATAATCACCCAGACTGGATTTCAAGTGTTATTTTTTTTTTATGCAAAGACACTTCCTAACTATTCTATTGAGCATCAAACGCGTGGTGTACTGGTTATTGAAAACTTTGAGAACACAATTTTATTTACAGCTACTAGTTTTCAATATGTTCTCATTGCGCTAGTATTTTCACCTGGTTTTCCCTATCGTAAACCTTTTTATCACAATAAAGGTCTTGTTGCTTGCATTGTTGCATTTGTAATTATGAATTCTTTTTTGCTTATAAGACCATGTAAGTTTTTTATGAAAGTACTTGAAGTAAAACAAATTCAAGGCGTAGCTTATTTTGAAGTTGTTTTTGGGTTACTCTTTTGTAACTTACTGATATCTTATATTATCGACTTTTTAATTGTTGATTCGAATTGCATGAGAACCTTTTTAAATTTTTTGGATAGAAAGAAAGGAGAAAAAAAAATTTATCAACAATTGATTCCTCATTTCATGACAGAGCCTACTTTAAATGAGTTTGATGAATTTTGTAACTCAGTATTGACTTAAATCTTCATTTTTTATACATTATTTATACATAAATATATCTTTTTTAAATGTATGCATTAGTACAAAAATAAATTATACAAAATTATATAAAAGATTTTTAAATAAATTTTGTTATTTTGGAAATTTTTTATAATTTTTTTATATCAGTTGCTTTAATTTGTTAAAAATGTTAATGACAGTTCTTTAAATATGTTAGGTACATCATGTGTTAAATAGGTTATGTAGGTACATGTTGTAATACAAAACAATTTAAATAAAATGAAAATAATTTTGTAGTTGTCACTTGAGTTTTATATTTTTTGCTACCTTTTTATGTACAATTTTTTATTTATTATATTTTGTAGTTGTTAAATGAATTTTTATAGTTATTGTGTTCATAATTATTGTAATTATGAGAAATTATGATTTATCAAACATGTAAAAAAAATATAATATACATAATAAATGGTAAAATAAAATAAAATTTTATTTCTTATTGTTATTTTTAATTTAGTAATTTATTGGTTTTGATTGAGAGGTTGAAAATTCAATTTTTCCCTTTTTAATTCATCTAATAAACATTAAAGAGACATCTTAACATTTAAATTTTCTACTCATAAAATAGTAAAACAAACTTTATAATATATAAAACTTAATTTTTAACTCAGTTAAATTCCAAAATATTGTATAGTTTTTGAATCACACACTTAGATAATTTTAAAATCATATTTTAAAGTCAACTCTGTGTTGAAGCATCTTATGCACTTCAAAACACAAGTTATGAATACACATAAGTTTTTAAATATTTTTGCATGAAATAAAACCTTTTTATTTTTAAAAAATGACAAAAGTTTTGTGTGCATAAAAATATATAAATCATAAAATACAATAACCCAGCTAATTTAAGTTATACTGGCTAAAGAGTAGTTCTATTCAAAAAGAGGCAGGAGTCTTAGCTAGTCTGTTGACACACCACCTTAAGAAGTCCCCTTTGAATTTTGTCACAAATACACTGCTGTGTATTTTTTTTTTTAATTTTAAACCCAAATAAAGCAAATATTTGTGTTTTTTTAATTTAATTGCAAAAATTTGCTAAATATGGTTGTTTGTCACCAAAGTTAACCAGCAAGTAAACAAAGTTGAACAAGCAAGTCGGCTAAACTAGCAATAATTAATATCAAGAGCTTAATAGTTGACACTCAAATCAAATATCATTTTAAGGTTTTGACTTCAATAGCAGTTATAAATTGTCTAAATTCTTGATAAATTCTTTTCTGAAGTGAATGAAATTTATCAAGATCTTTGGAATGTTTTTAGAATAGTTTTTTTTTGCTGCCACATGTCCTAAATTCCATTGGCTTTAGTATTAATAAATAACTTCTTGTATAAAATCTAAAAGAAAAACCGCTTACTGCATTACATCGTAATAAAGGTCACTTGTCTTTCTTTAAAGAACGCTTGATAATATCAAAATCAATAAAAAAACTGCTGCAACATGTAAGAGCAAGCATTCAATATAAAATTTGCAATCACAATGAGATAAAATAGAATGTAACAGTATGAATTTAAAGCAGAATTTTAAACGTCATCTTTGATTGAAGATTCTGATTTGCTAGTCATAAATGCAGATAAGCAAAATAGATTTGCTCTTTTGAAAGTGTCTAACTAAAAAAAGAAATTCTGTTTAACTAAACAAATGGAAATAGAATTGTATAAAATAAAATAAAAAAATTGCACAACAGTGTTAAATTCACTATTTAATTAAATTTTTTTCATACAAATTAATTGTTATGAGTTTAAATATTGTTAATTTAGTTTGTTTTTTTTTTGTTGTTTTTATTTGAGTTTTTGGATGCTTTTTATTAGAATATTTGAACATATAGAAAAATTTTAGTCACTGAGGAAGTTTTTTATATGATAAGTTTTTTAGCAAAATTTTTGAATTCACATTTATTTAGTTATTTAACTTTTAGTTGTGACAATTTTAATTAATTTTGTTAAATAAAAAATTAAGTCCTGAAATGGTCCTGAAAATATTGAAGAAAATATCCTGGAATAATTACCAAAATTGTTCTGGAAAGTCCTGGATTTTTAATTTTTTTAATATCTTTTTTTATATGTATTATATAACAAGTGCTTATATAACAAGTAGGGTTTTATAGTGGACACACTATGATTGGTCATGATAGTGGACACACTATGAATTTATCTATTATCAGTGTATTTTATCTATAACAAAATGAATAAATACAGTTCAATAAAGGTTCTTCCTCTAATTTTGGCATACAATTTTTTTTCTTTCATTTAATTTAAATCATATATAAAAGTCTAATATTCACAAGTTATGCGATTAAAATACAAAGTATACAAAAGTCTAATATTCACAAGTTATGCGATTAAAATACAAAGTATACAAAAGTCTAATATTCACAAGTTATGCGATTAAAATACAAAGTATACAAAAGTCTAATATTCACAAGTTATGCGATTAAAATACAAAGTATATAAAAGTCTAATATTCACAAGTTATGCGATTAGAATACAAAGTATATAAAAGTCTAATATTCACAAGTTATGCAATTAGAATACAAAGTATATAAAAAGTTAAGTATAAAAGTAATTCTAACAAAATATAATTATACAAAAAATATATTATACAAAGGTTAAATTAATTAAAAGGATTGAATAAAAATTTAAAAAAATATTTGGCAATATTTAATGATATGATAATTTTAATGTTTTGTAAGTTTAATTTTATCACATTTTATTACTTTAGTAATTAAATCATTCATATTTGTTCTGTAATAGTGTTTAATAATAGTTGTTTTATGATATTTAATAATTAATAATTTTATTTATAATTATTAAATATTATTATGAAAAAAAATTAATACTTTTATTTCATAATAATTTTGTAATTGTGTATAATAATAATAATAAATAATAATAATAATACTTTTTTCAGTTTTTTATGCTTAGGGTAATTTCATTATCATGAACAGTATTACTCTTGCCTCTCTTCAATTGTTGAGAGAAAAAATGAAAAAACATCCGAACCTTTGTTTTGTTACGCCTACTTTGTTGGGTTTAGAACAACAGTTGCAAAATGAATTACCTGTTAAGATTAAATCTTTATCAATTAAATTGGAGTCTATGCAATGCACAGGTATGTAGTTATTTATTGGGATATGCATTTAAGATGCTTTTAATATTTTTCTTATAGATTCACACAATAAAAAATTTTTTTAACAATTAATACTGTGGTAATACCAGGGATGTGGTGGCGATCAAACTGGGAAAAAAAAACTCTCTACCTCTGCATTACTACCACATTTAATATGTTTTAATTCAATTTCCAGCTTCCTGACATTTCTGAGTTTGTTTAAAATCATTATTGTGTTCAAAAACATTGACTTTGTGCATTGGTAAAATTTACAAAGATAAGTCCATGAGGAGGAGACTAGTAACTAACTAATCTAACTGATATTATAAAAAACATTTTCAGAAAACATAGTAATTCACTCAATCTTAGTAATACAAGTGCATGAAATTAAGATCTTGATATTAAGATCTTTTTCTTGATATAAGATGTTTTCATCTGTATTTTCTGTTTCTCTAAAATATTTTTACTGATTTTTTTAGTCTACTCAAAACTCAAAATGTTCTTATACTTAGAATCGATAAAAATATATATATAAAAAAAAGATAGAACAACTCACTGTGATGAACATTAAAGTCACTGATAACAACTATAATGGCTGAGAGATAAAGAGATAATAACTGTATTGGCTGGAGAGATAAAGAGAAAACTAAGCTAAGACATAAAGGGAAAATTGATCAATTTGATCACAAACAACATCAAAAAGATTTAGGGAAGATAAAAAAAGAATAAAAACAAAAATAACCAGATGATTAAGTCAAATAATACTAAGCAAAAATATATAAAAGATTGTTCAGAGGGTTCATTTTGTGACAAATCTGTGAACAGATATGATAGTATATGGCCAGTATAATGGCAATCAGCACTATGATAAGAAGATAAAATAGCCAAATTTAAATTAGTCTAACAGAGAGCATGTAGCTCTGGGAAATTTTTTAAAAGGTGTGATTTCAAAAAGTCATTTTTCAAAATGAATTGATGAAAGGTTACTTCGAAGACAAAAGATATTTGTAAAAGATAGATTGACTTAACTCGGTCATAATGGCTTTTTTTTGTTTGTTTATTTTTTAACTTTATTCATGTTTTAAATAAATAAGTTTGCAGACAGTGTATGATGTAATAAAAGATAAGTTATACAATTTTCCTCATCCTTCTAATCAATTTAAAGTCATAAAAAGGGCTTCTTATGTTGCCTTGACAATGCAAACCAAAATTACTAACACCTAATGGCAGATTTATCTGATTCATTTTGAACCTTTTCTTTTCTTTCCTTCTCTCAGATTATTGTATCATCAACACTAGTTTTTGTTATATTTTAAAGGCAATTGTATTGGTATTAATAGGTATTAACAGGTATTGTGAGAACCAAATTATCAAAAGAAATAATAGTCCCAGCAAAGATGATACACCATTTAAGACATTTTTCTATGCAGAGATAAACTTTGTTGAACTATTTTTCCTGCACCTAAAGAGTCATCTTGTTTGACTCGTTAGCATCTACTACTAAAAAATTATTTCAGTTCCTTTACAAATTCCAATTTTTATAAAAATTCTTTTGAGCACCAAACATTTGGAATCCTCCACTAGAAGATCTGCCAAAAATAGTTTATTTTATGAAGTGTTAGTTAAGAGGTAGGCTCTCCTGAGCAGAAGAACCAATTTATTTTATTAACAAGTTCTTAAGGAATCATAAAAACTATAAGTGATAAAAGAAAATTTAATGATTCTCCAAATGAATGCAGAAGCTCCAAGAATAGAGCTTTTTTGAATATTTTTCTCGGCTGAATACGTTATCAATGTAGTTATAGTTAAATAGGGCAATGAAATACATTATCAATGTAGTTATTAGTGATGTACCGATTGAACATTTTTGGCCGATGCCGATACCGATGCCGATGGATAGGAAAAGGTCGATACCGATGCCGATACCGATAGATTAACTAGCTATTATAATTTGAAAATATAAAACCATACAACTTTAAATCGTGTAAAATTTTTTATGGAATCAGAACTGGTAAGCAAATACTTGGACCCAAATCAGAGTCAAACCTTTATTTTAAAAGATATTAGAAAAGCTCAATCAAATAAATATACATTTTTTACTTTTTTTTAACTATGAAAAAAAAACTTTCAAAAAATAAATACAATTTTAGAGGAACACTTTTTATTTCAATTTTAAAAAGAAAATGGTATTAAGATAAGCAGTTTACTTAGAATTTTAGGCTCTTTATAAAAAAACAAATAAAAATAACCTTTATAACATGAAATATATATTTTTTCTCAAAATAAAATAAGAGACTTCAAAATCAAATACAAAAGAAAATAATAGCTTTAAGATTCTAAAGGAAGCAACAATAGCAGCTGTAACAATATTTAGTATTTAAAATTGTGTATACGAAAATTGTAATGTAAAAACATAAGCATTTCTCCTGTTTCCGGAGCCAACCTACTTCGTTGTGGAGAATAAATTTGTCCTCCACAACTAAATAATCGTTCACTTTCAACAGAAGATGGAGGGCATGATAAATACTTCTGAGCTATTGGAGCTAATTGTTTGAAGTTATTTCTATTTGCTCCCCACCATACTATAGGACTATCTTGTTGCATGATTATGTCTTGACTCAAATACATTAAAACTTATATAATGTTTGCTTTCTGTTTCTTGCAGAACTTCAGATATGGATGTGTTTTCAATTAAAGTGTTTTTATTTTTAATAAAATTTTCAAAGCATCTTGAAAAATCGAAATCTAGATTTGTTGTACTTGATAAAGAACTGACCTCAGGTTGAAATTCAATATGATCATTTTGTTGAAAACTTTTTGAGCAATCTACAAGCCATTTAATAATATTTTCAAGATAACTGTCAGCTACTTCGGTTGGAAAAAAATTATTTTTATACCTTGGATCTAAAAATGTGGCTAAAATGAGATTTTAGTCATTGAGATATTTTTCAAATCTTTCATTTGCTGAGTTTTTACATTCTTTTAAAATGGTTCCTAATCCAAAAAACAAGGGAGACTTTTCAGCTTGAATTAACATGGTTTGTATAACTTGTACAGTTGGAATTATAGCAGATGCAATTGCTTCACGCTCACTTAATAAATTTGTTATATCATTAAACATTTTTAAAAATTGTTGTAATTTTTCTAAAATAATCCATTCATTGTTTTCCAAGGACTTTAGTTTAGAGTTATCATTATCACAACAAAATGGGATTAAAGCACGCTTCTGTTCAAAAATTCTTTCAAACATAAAGTATTGACTATTCCATCTTGTTGCAATGTCTTGTTTAAACCTATTTTGTGGCACTTGATATTGAGTTTGATATTTTCGATACGCTTCAAAAGAAGATGGAGAATGATTAAAATGGGTTACTATGTTTTTACAAGTTGTTGACATATTTTTGATATATATCTGGGCAAATACAGTGTCATTCAACACAAGTTGCAAAGTGTGTAAAAAACACGGCAAGCTATTGTAACCTGCCTCTCTTATTCCAGCTGCCATATTAGCTGCATTATTTCTTGCAACTAAATGTACCTTTGAAGCTGGAATAAAAAAATCATTCATAGAACTTTGAATTGCTTCGCATATATTTTTGGCAGTATGAGATACATTAAATTGACAAACTCGAAGAACTGCTGACTTTTGATGAAATTTATTAGTTAACCAATGAGCTGTCAAGCTAAGAAATGAGCATTTTCCATTGGTAGATGCCCATCCATCAGTTGTAAATGAAATGTAAGAAGCATCATTTATTTCTTTTTGGATATTTTGTCTGACTTTGACATATATATTTTGAAAAACAGTGTTTTTAATGTACTTTCTACTTGGTATACAATAGTTAGGACATATATGATTTAGTAATCTTTGAAATCCGATGTCTTCTACTATTAAAAAAGGTTGAATATCAACTGCAATCATTTCTGCAATATAGTTATTAATTAATTTAGATCTGTGATCATTAATGTCCCAGGGTTTTTTTCTCGCAAGTGTTTCAAACAAAGTTTGTTGAGACTGTTTTGAGCAACTTGCTTCAGTTGACTTGATTTTCTTGAACACATTTTTTTCACTTTCTGCTTTCCTTTTGTTTTCTTCTTCGTTAAGTTTTAACTCTTTGCTTGCTATTTCTTTATGCTTTGTATTTATATGACACAACATATTTGTTGTGTTAAATGATTTAGATTTTTTTTCTTTGTTACCTCTTGAAACCTTCAGTTTGCATGTATTACATATTGCAATTGAGGTATCTTTAGGAGAAATGGTAAAATATTTCCACACCCAACTACGTGATTTTATTGAAATACCTTTTCCAAACAAAGCTGCTGCCATTCTGAGTATATTTTTGATTCAGTAACTTTATTAATTTATTACTTATTAATTTATTAGTAATTTAGATATCTAAACAACAATCATATAGAAATATAGAAGGCAATACTTGGATACATAAAGATAACAATGCTTAAATAGGTTACTTTTAAGTATAACAATAGAAAAATACAAAATAAAATTATTTTAAAAACAACATTACGGTAATAAAAGTATAAATACATTCAGCTGTTAAATTAAAGCTTATAAACATCATCTTAAGAAAAACAAATTTGCCTGTAAACAAAGTCATTATAAAAAATTTCTCAAAAAAAATCTAAGTAATGTATAAAGTTTAGTTTATTTATTATTTAGTTTTTATCATAATGTGGGATAAAAATATAAAAATGCCATCGGTTGGAAAATCAGTAAATTAATAAGGAAAGACCGATGCCGATACCGATACCGATTGTGCAAAAAGTGGCAGATTTAGCCGATGTCGATTAATCGGTACATCTCTAGTAGTTATAATTAAAAAGTTTAATGCTGAGAAAAAAAAATCATGATTGTAGACTTGAAATGTTGTTTATTCTAGCAAATGTATGGGAATATTCATTTAACGAGTTGCTTTTAACACAATTATGCCAATCTTTGGAAATCCTAAGCTGAAAATTGTTCTTAAAAAAAAAAATCAGAGAAGTGTTTAAAAGAAAAGCTTTTAAAAAGATGTTGAGAAAAGGTGTTGCTATGAGGTTTGAGCAATGTTTCTTTACAAAAAATCTTTCTTGGTCTTTGACTTATTTAGACCTATAAAAATTGTTATGTAACACCTACAATAAATAAAGCTACAAAAAAATGGTAGAATTGTAAACATTAAAGTCAGAGATACTATAGCGGCTGGTTTAGCTCCTCATTTTCATCATTCATTGCCATCATTAAATTACTTATATTTTTATATTTAGGTTATTTATACATTTTATTTTGACCAGCTTAAAAAATACTTTTTTCAAAAAATTGCTATTTTAGAGGAGGGACTATTCTGATTTAAAACTTTTATTTGATCCAAATAATAGTAAATACATACTAAATATTTTTGCTCAATTCTTGTATGATGTAATATTTTTGATGTGCATATTTTATTTTTATCAAGTATAAATATTCAAAAGGTAGAAAAATTCTGAGCTCAAAATAAGACTGAGTTTGATAAAACATAGCCAGGACCAAGGCTGAAGTCATCACAGTCTGGGGTGCACAAATATTGCATTCTAAAAAGATATTGTTTTTATTTAAATATCATGTTATTATATATATATATATATATATATATATATATATATATATATATATATATATATATATATATATATATATATATATATATATATATGTATATATATATGTACATGTTATTATATATATATATATATATGTATATATATATATATATATATATATATATATATATATATATATATATATATATATATATATATATATATATATATATATATATATATATATATATATATATATATATATATATATATATGTATATAAATATATATATTAGGGGTGTTCAAAAAAAAAATTTTAGAATTTGAAAAACAAAACCGTCTAGATTTGAAGCAAATATGTTTAAACTTACTTACAAAAAATTTCAGCACCATTGAACCACTTTTTCCTTGCCCTCAAAGCACATGTTTGGAAAAAAAGGACTCAAAAATGACCGAAAACTGCTTAATTTAAAGTGTCTTGAGGGCAAGGCTAGCATGAATGTTTTTAATAAATTTTTATTTTAGGGTTAAGAAAAATATCAGTATTTTTGATTTAAAAAGTATGGTTTTTTTCTTTCTTCACAAAATACAGTATAATTTGCATTTTAAATCAGCTAAAAAACGCTTATTTCGCGGTGCGGCGTTGTTTTAATAACCTTTTTAATAATTAAATTCAAACATTGTTATTCAGGTTTATAGTATAGCTTGCAAATGTTTATATTCAAAACAAGAATAGAACTACTCATTTTATGTATGTTTATTATTTATAATATTTTAATCAGAATAAAATAAATTAAGTTTTACAACAATTTAATCGTGATCTACAAAAACCACGCTTTGCAAAATTTTGAGATTTTATTGCGAAAAATGTTCCTTATCAACAATATTCTGAAAAAATCAAACATGTGTCAAAGTACCTTACATTATTAGTAAATACGCAGTTTTCAAGTGGCCAACAAAAACAAATCATTAACAATTAAAGGTTTTTTCAAATTTACAAAAATGTTGATTTTGTAACATATGTGGTTTTTGCATATCACGATTCAATGTTACTTACCATATCAAAAAAAAATTATTTTTAAATATTTAAGAAGATTTTGTAGAAGTTCTTTTATTTATCTAATTAATCCTTCTTTTGTTTGTTTGTGTTTTGTTTCTTCGCTAAGGAGGAAAGACTATCAGATAACCTTTTTTTTGGTAAGACTGGTGGAGCTTTTCCCAGAAATCCTGAAAGCAGAGCGAACTCTGTCAACTGATATCAATCTGTTCTGTTTCTCCTCTTCGTTGTTGTAACGATGAACATATTGCTGCATCATGCTGTCGGCTCTTTCCGAATGGTCATTGATAACAATAAGGCTATTGGAATAATTTTCAAAAATTTTAAACAAAGACTGTGTATGCCAGTATTGCGGTGGAAGTGAAAGCCAGTCTTTTATTCTTTCTTCTGTTAAACCGCAAAAACTAAACATAAGGTAAGAAAGTTTATCTACCAAAGGGGCTAAGCTTGGTGGATCTTTCTCAGTACTAGCATTTTTTTCTATCTCTTTTCTGATGTCTTTTTTTTCTTTGTTTTCATTTTTAAAGTGTTCAGCCTTAGGCATTTTAAATGAAAGAATTGCAACTGCAATTTTTTGTTTTTTATTCAAAGGCAAATCCTCATCCAATAGAGCTAGTGGAATCATAGTTGAATCCAAGTACCAAGTGTGCTTGTAAAGCGAATCAAGCACAGCATCAACTGCTTTTGGATTCAAACAAATATTTCTGAATTGATGCATCTGATGGATAGCTTTCATATCTAAGTTGGGGGCCTTTGACACATTGCTCGATTCTAAATACCACTTGGCATAAAAACAGGCTACAAACTCTGCGATAAGCTTGATTTCCATTTTGAGATCGTTGTTCTCTCGAACAAAGTCAAGTTGAGAATACAGAAGCTGCATTTTTAGATAGTAAATTGCTTTAGCAAGAAAACGGGCATGATGGATAGCTCCAGTTTTCCTGATTTTATAAACAGAAGGTGATAGATCTAATTCAGCCAGCTCTCTTCTGTCTTCACGTTTATCTTCTCCTACTATCCCCTTTCTTTCTATATATGTTTTGCAAAAGTTCATAGAATCTTCAGCAGCCTTTTCACTTATACTACCATTAACCTCACTCCAATCAAACTTGCACAGATCACTTGGAGAATAAATAAAATTTGGATGTTCAAATAGGCTCTTAAATTTTTGAAACAATGGGTTTTCTGGTCCTGTACTTAACTCATTTGTTGTATGTTTCCAAAAATGCACCATTCTTAATTCTGTTATGTGATGCCTTTATGCTAGTTTTAGAAGATATTTATTTAAATTGTTGGATATCTTTACGACTGAGCCTTTTTTGATCCCGGTATTGCTTGCAGTTGTATCAAAACAAAGACCTCCTACTTTTGATTCAAGTTTATATTCCTTTAGTACGTTCATGACACTTGTGTATTGATCCTCGCCGGAAGAGGAAGTTAGAGGAGGGACACCTAGTAGGTGTGTCTCACCCTCAATGTTCACAAGAACTGCCAGCCTGTCAATCTTGAACTTTTTTCCTGCATTAATTTCATAAAGAGTTTTTCCATCAAAATGTATAATACATGGATAAGGAGAAGCTTCTATTGCTTTTTTTACATCCTCTTTTGCTAAAATTGATATATTTTCATTTGCCAATTTCATCTTTCTAAAAGCTGTTGATTTACTGCAATGTATATCTGTAAGATCAACACCAGCTTCAGTTAAAATGGCACTTGTCACTTTCTGCAAAACATTTGGTGAAACATCACTTAACGTAGCCATAAGAGCAACGTTCCCGGCATATACATCTATTGGATCTTCTGCCGTTACTGTACTGTTAGATTGAGATGGTTCTTTTTGATAATAGTTACTAGGCTCAAAATCAGAATCATCGGATGAATCAGAACTCAAATCAGAATTGATCCTTAATCTTCTCTAATGAATCTCATCCAATTCACTTACTATTTCTAATTTTAGTTGTTCATTCTTAATCAGTGATACAATCAAAGGATTCAAGAAATATTTTAAGCACAAATTAAAAAATAAATAGTTACAATCATAAACCTTAAAAGTAATTTTAAACTTTATTTAGTGAATTTTAATTAATAAAATAAAAAAACCTCAAAAAGAATGAATTGTTTAAATTTTCATTGTAAAGATAAGAATAATTTTAAATTGATTTTTGTTGATTTTGCTAAGTATTATTTTAAAAGAAGTGAGATGTTTTGATTTAGGAATCAAAAAAGTATTTCAATTTAGGAAACCAGCTGACTTAATTAGAATAAAATGGCAGCTTAACAAAACAGAATTTATTTCCAATAACAGTGCAATTAATTAAAGCAAACTATGGTTAAAAGTATAGAAGGTCTTTTTGTATTAAATAAATTATAAATGTTTTTATAGTTAAACCATCTTTGGTTAAAAAATATTCAGTCCTTAGGTGTTCCAATTTCGGAATTCATCCCTACTAAAGGTTGTATAAATAAGTAAGGATATTGTATGCCACCATATAAATGAATTATAATATATAATTTATTATAAATTTTTTCCTAAACCGGGCCATCAAACCCAACTAAATCTTTTAATTTTACTGGTGAAAAATCTATAGTGCAATATTGTAAAATAAACAATATATATAATTTTTTGTTTAAACAATAGGTTCTTTTAAAGCAAGAGGGGTTCTTTCTCAATTTTTGGAATTGTCTTCTGAAGATTGCAAAAATAAACGAATATTAGTAACAATGTCTGCAGGTAACTATGGAAAAGCTTTTGCTTACATATCAGGTGTAGAAAATATGCCAGCTGTAGTATGCATGCCTGAAAGTGCTCCTGAAGATCGTAGAGAGACTATTAAAGTAAGTTCTTAACTGACTTTAACTTTTTGTTAACTTAATTTTCAAGAAAACTGATTAATATTATTATTAATATGTAATAGAGTAGTTATAATATATGACTATTATTGTGTAATAATTTAATGCAAAATTTTTTTTTTAATATTTTACTACAATTTTAGTCATTTGGAGCTAAAGTTTTATTATGTTCAAGTTCTGAACTAATGGACACTGTTAATAATCATGTTAAAAATCACAACAGTCTTTTTTTACACTCCTTCGATGACATTCAGTTAATAAAAGGACATGCCAGGTTTATTTGTTTTTTGTTTTTTTAAGTTGATGGCTTTAAAATTATTTGTTTGTTAAATCAATCAACCACATAACCAATCAGCCATATATATAACCATACAATCGATAATCCACTTAACCAATTAACTACACAATCAATCAACCACATATAAAATAAATCAATTAACCATGCAATTAATCTATGCAACCAATCAAGCCTTGTTATGATTAATTGATTTTGTAGTTAACTTATTAATTTCACTCAATCATGTCAAACTTATAAAATGAATTGTGTATACATTAAAATGATGTAACATTAGGTCTCGATTCTGATTTTTGAATTTTTGCATGTTTTTAGTCTTGTGAACATAATCTTATTAGTCAGTTTTCAAAATTCAATTATCAAAATATTTTATTAAAAGTGCTGGTTTGGAGCTAGTTGAGCAGTTGCCAAAAGAACCAGATATAATTGTTGTTTGTTGTGGAGGCGGTGGTTTTTTAGCTGGAGTATCTCTTGCTGTACGACTTTATGGGTGGACTTCTACAAAGATATATGGTGTTGAACCAGATGCAGGTCATTATTTTTAAGCAAGAGTTTAAAAAATTATAATAACAATTTAAACCTTTGATAATTGTCAAACTAAGTATTTAAAATTTATATATATATATATATATATATATATATATATATATATATATATATATATATATATATATATATATATATATATATATATATATATATATATATATATATATATATATATATATATATATATATATTAGGGTGTTCCAAAAACATACTTTTTTTAAAATTTCAATGTGCTCTCCACTGATCCCCATTCTATAGGTCCTAAAAATCTTTTATTTTTATTTTTTAATGACTACAAGTGATAGATGTAAATTCTGAGTTTTACGGTATTGTACACATGTGTATTTACATAAAAACAGCACTATTTAGTATTTCAATAGGTTTTAATATTGATGGCATGTGCACAGATATGGTAAGTACAAATTTTGGTCAAACTGAGATAAGTACGCAGAAAAACGTGTTTTTATTTATAGTTCATTGTGCATAAATATGGTATGCGTATGAAAAACGATAAAGAGTCTTCTAATTGACAAAATGTGGTGAATAGCTAACTGCTGTAACTGCTGTAACTGAAAGATTTTATCGTGCATTAGATGGAGGCGGTGAGGCTAGGGCTATTGCTCTCGACATATCTAAAGCTTTCGACAAAGTTTGGCATGCTGGTCTTCTCCATAAGCTTGCTTCATATGGTGTTTCTGGGAAAGTTTTTGAGATTATCAAATCATTTCTTTCTAACCAGTTTATTAAAGTCATCCTTGAAGGCCAACACTCTTCTTTATTTCCAGTATCTTCTGGGCTTCCCCAAGCTTCCATCCTGGGCCCTGTTTTGTTTTTTATCTACATAAACGATCTTCCTGACAACTTTTCATCTAAAGTAGCTCTTTTTGCTGATGACTCAACTTTATACTCCTGTCTTGACAAAAAGTCTTCTCTTTTCGATCGCCTAGAACAAGCAGCTGATCTTGAATCTGATCTCACTTCAGTAATAGATTGGGGTTCACAGTGGCTTGTGAATTTCAACTCTAAAAAAACCCATTTGCTTACTGCAAACAACTACTGCAATATGGTCAACATTCCTATATTAATGAATGGCAATCCTCTTACTGAGTCCTCCTCTTTACGTCTTCTTGGATTATCGCTTACTACTGACCTTTCATGGAAACCATATATACAATCGATTGCTAAATTAGCTTCTGCTAAGGTTGCTTCTCTTTATCGTGCTCGCCATTTCCTTACTTCTGATTCCATTCTCTACCTCTACAAATCTCTTATTCGTCCCTGTATGGAATACTGTTGTCATATTTGGGCTGGTTCTTCTAACGATTCACTTTCTCTTCTTGACAAAGTCCAAAAACGCATTGTAAATGTTGTTGGACCTGGACTATCTGCTAAGCTTGAGCCTCTTTCCCATCGTCGTAAAGTTGCATCTCTTTCTCTTTTCTACAGATACTATCATGGTCGCTGCTCAAAGGAGTTATCATCTCTAGTTCCATCAACTAAAGTTCATTCTCGTTTTACTCGTCATTCAGCTAAGTCTCATTCGTTTACTGTATCTGTCCCTGCATGCTCTTAAAACTTTTATTCATCTAGTTTTTTTCCCCGCACTTCAATCCTTTGGATCTCTCTCCCATCTTCATGTTTTCCTGACTCATACAACCTTCAACTTTTCGAGTCTTCTGTCAACCGTTTCCTTGCTCTATAACTCTGTTCTTTTTTTTCTTCCTAGTAACTCCCAACTTAATAGTGGTTGCTTGCAGCCTTGTTGGGAGTGAATGCAAATAAAAAAAAAATAAATACAAAAACTCTTCTCATTATAGTTACGCGCACAGTTTTTACAGTTTTTAATCTTGCACTTACCACATTTGTGCACTATGCATCAATATGATGTAATAATTGGTACACAAATAATTCCCATAGGATATTATTAAAGAAAAGGATCATTCCCTGTGAACATTGTTAGCGATTGATATAATTTCCTCGGGACAATATTATTACTTGGATTGGTTCACAAATAACTCCATTTAGAAATTTTTTTTAAAGGAAAAAATTTTTAAATGGAATTATTTGTGCACAAAGGAATTCTAATTTGTGCACGAAGAAATTCTTGTGTGAACGGTTATCAAAGACTTAATAGTAAACTTAGATAAAATATGATACGAGAGGGAATAATGACTTTATACAATTTTAATGCAAGTGTAAAATTTAGTATAAACTTAGTTGAAAAACTGATTATTTCGAAATTCATATAAAAATGGGTAGAACAGCTAAAAAAAAGATGATGATAGGACAGAATAAGAAAAAACAGAAAAATACAGAAAGGTTGAGGTATATTTACCTATCGAAGTACCCACTGAGGGATTTACCTCAGAGACAGCTTCCATCTAATGGTGATATTCTAAGATACTATCAATTTATCTTTCACGAGTCACAAGTAAAATACAAATCCACTTCTACTAATGTTGGTTGCAAATTGAAATCAAAATCCAAGGATTTTGTTTTTGAAAATGGTGTTTGTTCAGATCCTGATAACTCTTGCTTGGTAACTAGGATTAAAAAAAATTTGGGATAATGCTAAGTTTGGCAAGAAATTTGTGATTTCTAGGTACAATATAAAGACCAAAATCATTAAAGTTAATCTAAAATACAAGAAATTGATTAAATTGTCTTCTTTAAACTGGAACAGCAGCCTTGATAAGCAATCAAAGTTAAAGAAAGATTTTCTCACAGAATCCTATCAGCTTTTTGACATCCCCACTAAGAATTTTAAAAAAGATATTCTTGCTGATAGATTTAGAACAGATGATGCCAAGATATAAAGTAAGTGCATTAAATAACACTTTTTTAGTAGTGAGATTTCTTTTCCGAATTAAAGTAACTTAAGTAATAGCATATTATTTCCTTTAAAATATTAACATTTAACTCCTTCCATGGTTTGGCCATCTTCCAGGAAAAACTAGAACAACTATTAATTTATTTATAAATGTCTTAATAGAATTAACTATTTCTTAGTTTTTATGAAGACTAAAAGTTGGATAGGAAAGGATATATTGTAACAAACATTGACAAAGATTACAGTAGGAGAGTACTGGATGCAAACAGGAGAAAGAACAAGCTAGATAAGTTGAGAAAGAAAGAATTAGAGAGATAGAAAGACGTAAAAGATATCAATGATGTTTTGTTGTCACATGATCCATGACAGAAGAGATTCAATTCAGCAGTGAAGAAGAAAAGCCAAACGAGGACTCTGAAATCAGCGAGGAAGAAGATTTCCTGCGTAACGGTCGGAAACGCAGGTATAGTATTATTTTAATAACATATTTGTAATTTTCACAAGCTAAAACTGTTTTATTGAAAAGTATATAATTATAAATAGGTAGAAAAGTATTATAAAATGATATCTAGGTACAATTCTGGAGAGAGGATAAATCTAGCAGTTGTTGAAAAGCTAATTGAATGTACTGCTATTCCAGCGACAAGGTTCAATGTTGGCGTACAACCTCATCTGGCAATTTTAAGTGAAGTATTTAAAGCTGGAGGTATAGAAATTAATGATATACCGCTTTCACGAAGCACACTTTATAGAAAAAAGTTCAAATATGTAGAACTTGAAGGAAACTTGGAGTGGATTTCAATAACTAATCATCTTAAAGGCCGACGACTTATTCTTCATTTTGATACCAAACTGTTGGAACAAATTACCACTGGGCTTAACATTATTCAAAAAATCGAGCAACTTGCAGTCTCAGTGAGTTCCCCGGATGATAATACCATGGAAGACCAACTTTTAGGTGTTGCTCAATGTCCCTCTTCAAAGGGAGTTCACCAAGCAGAACAAGTGCACAATCTTTAAGAATATTACGGATGTAAAGAGCAGATTATTGGTATATGTTGTGATACAACTGCAAGCAATACAGGCGGAGTCAATGGAGCAGTCCAAATTCTTACAGATATTCTGAAAATACCAATTTTGTGGATGTGTAGTTGTCATTATGTAGCTGCTCTTACTGGTGAGAAAACAAAAGGTCCAAAAAGAGCTCTTTATGTCAAGCTAAAGAACAAGTGGCCTGAAATCTGTGAGAAAGTTGATGAAGTGAAAAATTTATGTAAATTGGAGTGGCAAAAAGATGATCTGAAGATTGGCTCTGTTCTTCGCACTGATGCAGAAGAAGCTAAGAAATTTTTGACTAATGCAACTACTGATATGGTGTTTTCAAGGAACGATTATGGTATAGTTTGTAAGCTTGTCTCCTTCTTCCTTGGATCGGAAGTACAAGATTTTAAGTTCCATCAACCTGGCGCCTGCCATGAGGCAAGATTTTTAGCAGATGCGATCTACACCCTGACTCTTTATATGACCAAAGATATCAGTAATATCTTGACAGAAAAATAAAATTGAAGGATGCAAGTTTGTTCATTGCAATTTCCTATGTTCCATGGTTTTTGAAAAGTTTTTTAGGATTTCTGGCTCCCTACAATGATTTAAAAGCTATCCAGACAGTCTATGAATTGAGAAAAGTCATTTAGAAAATTGGTAATGCTTTGCTTCTCAACATGGGATGCCATATGTGGTACTTAACTCCGCAACTCTGTGTTTTGTCCTTTGAGGATAAAGAAGTTCCTTCTGAAACAAAGCTAAGAATGCTGTTAGCTTGGGAACTGTTCAAAAAGTTGTATTTTTTGAGAAATGTTTCACGGCAATAAAATCTTAAATTTGCTAATAAATAATAGTTTTTATGTATTATTATTATTTTTTTTTGTATTTGCATATTTATAAATATAAACTATCAAGTTAAATAGTAGAAAACAGTTGTAAATGATTTATACGCATTTAATTGTTTTGTTTTAATTTTCTAAAATGTAAAAAAATTGTGTTTTCTAATAATGTTAAGTCAGCTTTACATTAAAACAGTAAAACAGTTTTTTGGGACACCCTAGTATATATTTATACTGTAATTAATATCAGGTCTTATAAGTTTATTTTGAATTTATATTAAATCTATATTTAATACAAGTAATTTATCTTAAATTATTTTATCTAAAAGCTATATTTTTAACAAATATTTAATAGCCTTATATAAAAACTGTATAAAAACTTATATAAAATTAATTACATATATATATATATATATATATATATATATATATATATATATATATATATATATATATATATATATATATATATATATATATATATATATATATATATATATATATATATATATATATATATATATATATATATATATATATTAGGGTGGTTCGATTTTCATATAAAAAAAAAAAAGTTTAAAAATCAATATTCCTGAAACACAAATCGATGTCTATTAATTGTAAGATGAAAGTAAAAAAATATTTTTTGATTTTGATGATATCTTGAGGTTGATATCTCTGATATCAACCTCAATATCAACCCCAAAAGATGATATCTCTTTGGATTCTAAATCCTTGACGGATCCTAATATTTTTTAATTTTTTTTTTCTAAACTATATCAACCTTGGACTCAAAAAAAGCAGAAAAAAATGCTTGTTTTATCAATAATAATTTTATTTAAAAAAAAATTTTAATGAAAATATTTGCAAAGCTATACCTTAAAACCCTCATTTTGATAAAGACGGGGTTTTTTAATAAAAAAAACAACATTATTTTTTCTTTAGTTTTGAAAAAAAAATTTCAACAATATTAGGATCTGTCATAAATTTAGAATCCAAAGAGGAACCTCTAAAACTCATTTAAATTAAAAAAAAAAAAAGTAAGGTTCTTTTTTCACCAAAAGACATCGATTCACAGCGATTCACTCAGGCAAATCAAATTTCAAAATTTTTAAAAATCGCTCCACCCTAATATATAATATATATATATATATATATATATATATATATATATATATATATATATATATATATATATATATATATATATATATATATATATATATATATATATATATATATATATATATATATATATATATATATATATATATATATATATATATATATATATATTATATATATATATATAGATTATATATATATATATATATATATATATATAAATATATATATATATATATATATATATATATATATTATATATATATATATATATATATATATATATATATTTATATATATTAATTTATATTAATATATATATATATATATATATATATATTAATTTATATTAATATATATATATATATATATTAATTTATATTAATATATATATATATATATTAATTTATATATATATATATATATATTAATTTATATATATATATATTAATTTATATATATATATATATATATATATATATATATATATATATATATATATATATATATATATATATATATATATATATATATATATATATATATATATATATATATATATATATATATATATATATATATATATATATATATATATATATAGAGAGAGAGAGAGAGAGAGAGAGAGAGAGAGAGAGAGAAAGGTATATATATATATATATATATTAATTTGTATTAATATATATATATATTAATTTATATTAATATATATATATATTAATTTATATTAATATATATATATTAATATCAATGTTTATTATGTAGCGCCTACAATGTATGAAGCTATAAAAAATGGTAAAATACTTGAAACTAAAGTTAGAGATACTATAGCGGCTGGTTTAGCACCTCCTTTTGCTGGTGATTATTTTGGATTTAAGTATTTCATTATGACTCTACCTTAAAAAACCTTCTTGCAAAAAATTACTATTTTAGGAGAGATCTGCTTTAATATAGTGAAAGAGCATGTCAATGGTATTTTGTTGGTTACTGACGACGAAATAATAAGGTTTTTTATTTACTAGAAGTCCTAAATCATAAAACTAAAGTAATATTTAATAATTTTATAGTAGTTATTAATTATAATGGGTAATAGTATATTAATATAATATATAATATAATTTTATTTTTTTAAGTTTTTTTAAGTATTAAAAGCTTTTTATGCGTAACCTTCTAGATCAATGGCTTTGTTGTATAAAATTGGGCTTGTTGCAGAGCCTTCTGGAGCGGCCTCGTTTGCCGCCCTTCTTTCAAATAAAATTCCGGATTGTGAGCATAAAGATGTGGTGCTGATTTTAACAGGTGGAAATATAACTTCAAATGCTTTAAAATCGCTGTTAAATCCATCGTAGTTGGTGTTTTTATTTTTATTTCTAACATTTGGAAGTATTAAATTGTAAAAGAAACATTTTCGTTAATGGTTAATGGTGATAATGGTGGTCGAAGTGGATAATAATAATAACGGTGATAATTGTAGTTGAAGTGTAAAATAATAGTATGCTCATATTTTTTTTTTTTTTTTACTTTTCTTTTATTAAATTTATTTCAGAATTTTTAGTATTTCATTTCTCCTTCAAGTTTTTTTTTTCTCATTCTCAAATATATATCCCCTTCTAATATATTGTATAAATTTAATATATATTTTTAATTTATGTTCTTATTATGTTTCGTTTCTCAATATGGTGTTAGGGTAGACCAAGGCAAACAAACCAAGATTCTAGGTAAAGGTTGGTAGTGCTTTATTCTTATTTTGAAAAAAAAAAGATAGTTCATACGTGTGTCTATTTAAAGATTTCTCATAAGCCTAAGTAAATTTATTTCATTAAAAAACATTTTTCAGCGCATTGAAATGAATTAAAACACATTTAAGAACAAATACGGCGCAAGACCTTTAAGTGAGAAATAAATTTTATTTTTATTTTTGCTGCGCTACTTACAGTTTGCCAATTTGGCCCTAACCCTCAAATTGAGGACCAAAAAAATGACAGTATTTCCAGTAACCTAGAGACATTCACGGTTCATTTGGCATAAAAACTAAAATCTGCTTACTCCGTCCGAGAGAGAAAATTTTTTTCATGTATATATATATATATATATTTTTCACAATTACATGTTAGTTGCAATTTTTTTCACATCATAATAAAAGCAAAATATTTTTTTCACATGACATAAGCTAAAATATAACTAACAAAAAAAAAAAAAAAATAACACTCAGTTAAAAAAGAAGAAAAAATCTTAAAAAATTAGTAAAATAAAATAATTTTAAACTTAGGAAGCATTAGTTGAATATATTATTAAAGTTGTTATAGGGAACTCGTAGTTCCCTATAACAATATAAACTTGTTATATTGTTATAGGGAACTCGTAGAAGACTAAATAAGTCTTATCATTGAGATCCTTGGGGTAATATGCAAGATACTCATAAGAACTAATATTAATTACCGATTTGACAGAACTAATATTAATTACCGCCCTATATTCGTCGTTTCTACCTTCTCAAAAATTTTAGAAAAAATTATGTACAATGAAATGCTCAATTATTTCAATAACAATAATCTATTATATAAAAATTCAGTTTTAAAAAATAAAACTCAACTGAAAATGCAATTATTCAGTTTGAACGCAAAATCTTCAATTCTTTTGAAAATTCTCAATTTACATTAGGCATTTTTATTGATCTATCGAAAGCGTTTAATACTGTAGTGCCTTTTTTTGTTGCTTTGAGTGAAATAAGATATATTTAGTTTTTTGTACGTTTATTGATAACTTATTAGCACTGAACCAAGTTTTATGTTGTCAAAAAGGTCATCGATAGAAAAAGATGAATAAAACAGATTAAAATAAAATTACTAGAATAAAATTGAGTTTAAAGTTAGCTCTGCAACATTTTCAACATAAAAAGTATGGCGATTCAATAAAATGATGGGCAAATACTTATCCATTTAAAGATATAACTGATTTTTCATATATTTTTATGTTCTTGTTAAAATAAAATCATTTTGGTGTTTTTTTTAAAAAAAGTTATGTTCCTACTTGAGGCTCAGACATACCAATTAGAAAGCAAAATTTTAAACGCCATTATCTGATTTATACGCATTGTCTGTGTTTATCAAAATGATACAAATCACAATTTTTAAAACTTTATAAAGAGATATAAGGGATTCAAAAGGTTTTCAATAGAAAAAGGAATTGAGCAATTTTTTCATATGGCTGCTTTATGGGACTTTCAAGTGAGGCAATTAGAGAAATTTGTTACTGTTTTTGAAAAAAAATTTCGTAATTCTTTCACCCTTTGATAATTTTTGTTTCTGTAACTTTTTTTCTTTATAAAGTCATAAGGATACAGAAACAAGTGCTTAACTATTTTTTCATTTTATTTTAAATTTTTTAATTTTTTTTATTTCATTTCAAATGTTTAATTTTTTTATTTCATTTTATATGCTTCATTTTTTTTATTTCATTTTAAATGTGTCATTTTTTTATTTTTAAGTTATTTTAAATGTGTCATTTTTTTGTTTTTAAGTTATTTTAAATGTTTCATTTTTTTATTTTTAGGTTTTTATTTTTGTTTTAAAGTTTTATTTTAAATGTTTCAAGTTTTTCAACTTGCAATAAATATTTTGAGACTTTAAAATTGCAATAAATATTTAATATTTTGAGACTTTTTAAAATAGGTATTTTTGATATATATACATAGTATATACCAAACTTGTCTCTTGCTTTATTTATTGCTTTTTTAAGTAAAAGGCTTGCTTGTAGACAATAAAAGTTCAAGTTAAGTAATAAAAAAGTTTCATTTTTTCATTTTGACCATAATTTATTTTAAAAATACATGAAAAATTCTTTCTTTACTAACTTTCATACAACTAAACTGTTTTTAAATTGTTTGGAACAAGAAACATTTTACAAAAACAATAATTAACATTCCACATAAAAATATTCTTTATTTAAAAATAAGCAGAAATCTGAACCAAAGATCTTTATCTTTTTCAGCCTTTAATTTAAATATGATTGCTGTTGCTTAGCACGCAGTCAAGCAACTGCTTTCCATAGTTTGGGTTGTCCAAACTGTATCTTGCCCAGAGGGAACTGAAGACTGAATGAAGTGCTTCAGATAATCCTTAAAACAACCAGCCCAGTGTTGGGAGTATTGATAAACTTTTTGATGTATCTCCGACAGAGACATGTAGCATTCTAGAAATGCATTGATGTGAACCTCAAAATCTAGGGACAGATTGTTTCCAAAGCAAGAATGAAATTAGATTTAGAAATTAAGTTAAAAAATAGATTCTCTGAAGAACTTTGCAAAGGTAATTCACCACCCTAAGCAAATTGTCAAGTTCCATTGGAGCAATAAGTTCTAAGAGAGCTTTGGAAGCATCCTCTACTCGGATAAGATGCTCGTGAATCACATTCAAGTACTTGTTTGCCTGCGATTTGCTTTCTCTTGAATTTGACTTGTAGAGTTGGAATTAAGTTTTTATTGGTTCAATCACTCTTGCTTTTTGACTGAAAATTGTCTTCAGTTCATACCAGAAGCTAAGGTGTGAACTCAAGTGAGACTAGATTCCACATAGGATGTTAGTAACTTTCATGTCACATGCAATAAAGAATGGTGTGTTGACAATCCCTAAAAGAGTAAAGATTGATTTAAGGTTCTCATAGTTTTCTGGAAGGTTTTCGGCTACGGCTACAATTAGCTGCTGCTTGACACCAGAATCCAGAGATGCAAAAACAGTAAGGGCTGTCGCAATTTGATATGCAGTCTGTGTGTGAGATCTCCTAGCATCAATGATGTTAAAGCTAAACTTCATGAAGTTTCTACCATCAACAATCTCAACTTTGGTGATGCTGCTCGATTTGGAAACTCCTCTTACCAAGGTAACAAACTTAGACAGACTGATGCAATGCACGACCTTCGTTTTGGAGACTTTTTTCAAAGCATCATAAATAGTTAATATGGTGAAGTAGGACTCCAACTTTCTTCCGACACTAGCAAACACATGCCTGAAATTTGATTCCACCAACCCTTCTCCAAATGACTTTGACAGTTGATGCGATTCTTTTGATTTTGTTGCTAGAAAGACCATTTGATTTGAATCTTGAAATGTTAGTTTGTTGAGAGCATGGTTTTTTATTATGAATTTAAGCAAGAAAGTCCATAAGCAAAGAGTATTAGTCTTAAATTCTGATTGTTCTTTTAGTTCTTAAGAAGAGGCAACAATTTGATCAATGATAAACGCAGCCAGTTTCTCTCCTACTTTAAAGTCGATCTGCACCATCCTTTTCAAATTTTGAACTTTTTGTGCGCTGGTGAGGAAACTCTTTTGAGCGATATCAAGCAAAGAGAGCACAGCTTTTCTCGGAGCTTTGTGAACTGCTGCTTGGTGCTTTTGACTATCTAGAGTTAGTAACCATTTAAAAATACTTAAACATATTACTTTCAAAATGTTTATAAAAGAGGTCAAAGACATTTTCTCTTCCGTGTAGTTACCATTAGCATCTTTAATGTTAACTTGATTGTTCCAAATTTTCCATAAAGAGGTAATTTTAATTGGAATTTTGTTAGTCTCAGTTTCTATATTATATACGTTACCTTCAGATTTTATTGTGTTTGTGTTAGTCATTATTTTTAATTAAAAAAAGGCAATTTGCCAAAGAACAATGTGTTTCATTTTAGACGTTTTAACACTTTCTGAGCAAGGTAATAAGTTATTAATATAAACATTTAAATCGAGACTTAAAATATAGGGTCTTTATTTAGATTTGCTTTAGGATTAAGTAAGTAAAAGCTTCTAAATTATTGACCCAATTAGACAATTATTGTATTAAGTAATTCTAAAAAATTCTATCCCAAAAAATTCCATCCCATCTAAAAAATTCCATCCCAAAAAATTCCATCTCATCTAAAAAATTCCATCCCAAAAAATTTCTGGAAAACCTTCAGATATATAAAGTCTGATTCAAAATCAAAACTATTTACTATAAATAATAAAAAAAACAAAGAATCAATCACTAAAGAATTTGCCGAAAAACGTTTAAACATTAAAGCAAGGAGGCATATCGCTTCGAATTTTCAAGTTCCTCCTTGTACCAAATTTGAAAAACTAATAGAATATCTTATTTTAATAACCTGTCCAGAGAAAAAAGAAACTCATCCTCTTCAATTTGGTTTTACAAAGAACAGCTCAACCTTACATGCCGAATTTATTATTAGTGAAACAATTAAATACTACAACAACAATAACTCACCTGGTTATCTCTTTTTCCAAGATGCTGAATAAGCATTTGACAGTTTTAGCTGGGACATTCTATTTGAGAAACTATACGATAATAAAAAATCACCGCATTACATTATTAATACTATATTGTCATTGTACCATGAAAGCAGTGCTTCTGTCACTTAACTAGGATGCAAATCATATCCATTTTATCTAACACAAGGAGTGAGACAAGGATCAATTCTACTTCCTCACCTGAATAATATTTACATAGATTATCCTAGTCATATTTTAAAAATCCGGAAAATGGTTTGGAAAAAATATCCGGGA